AAGATTTGAAAGTATCTTGTCCCCTTATTGGTCCTTTGGGTCAGATGCCAGCCAGGTTACCTGAGCTTCTTAACCCTTTACAGGGAAAAGGATTTTGGAGTCTCTGGCCAGGAGGGATTTTATACACAGGACAGCTGTTACACCCTTCCCTTTATAGTTATGACAGACCCACTAACCCATTTCAAAGATAATTTATATTCTTATTTAGTTCTTTGGATACATATGTAAGCAGAGTCAGGATGAGCTCTACCCTGACATCTGGTGGTGAATTATGGCGAGTGTGGAAAAGAACTCCAGGGGCTGATCTTGTTTGCATAGGCACACCCACCCGCCTGGCATGAGATGACAGCAACTCAAAGTGGTTACTTTGGCTGGTGTGGGATCCCCAATTTTCTCTGTTATTGGGGCAGGAAGAATAAAGTTTTGTTACCCTGATTCTGTGAATCAAGGCCAGTGGAACTGTTGTATGACAGAAGGACTGAGTGAGTCCTTCACCATTACCTAAGTAGCACTTGCTTGACAAGGGGCATGGATTACAAAACCCAGTGAATGGAGAGAGGATGGGGACAGGTATTTATACCTGATGGTATAGCCCCCCTCGGCTTGACACACCAATTGCACTATTTCCTCTCTCCAATGTTGAATGTCAGAGCTAACTTTGATTCCATTAGGAGTATAGTTACAGACTGCTGAGCTGAATTCACTTTGGGCCAATGGTGCACCAGCACTGGGGCTCCCCTACTATGAGCTGAAAGTGCTAAGAGCTGAAATCACAAAAGAGCTAAAGTTATTAAGAGCTGAGATCACTGAGTGCTGTGTTAACTAGTGGGGGAGCTTGAAGCTATATTGCTAAGCAGCTGGTGGAGCAATTTGTGGGGATGACTGGAGGAGCAGTGAGCGGTGCGGAGCCTTGCGGGGCGGGTTGGAGCGGCCCAAGGAACGGCGAGCGGAGCTGTTTGCGGGGATGGCTGGAGCGGCTCACAGGTCGGTGAGCGGAGCGGAGCAGTTTGTGGGACGGCAGGAAGTGGACTGGATCGTGGTGAAGGCTGCGGCGGAACCCCACGGAGAGACGGCCGGCTGGCCTCGGATCACGTAAGGTGCCCCTTAACACCCTGCGTGCCCCCCCCCCCCTTTTAATCTGGGGCTGCACTGACCAGGGACAGAGACTTTGGGGTCTGTTGGACTTTTGGGACTTTGGGTGGTTGCTGGACCCAAGAGACTTTGGGGGTGTTGGACTTTGGGGACTCTGGGTGATTTTTGGGTTGCTGGATTCAAGAACCAAAGGGAAAGGACACAGCCCAATTTGCTGGGGTGGGTTTTTTGCTCATGGTTTGTGTTCTGAATCTTGTTTGTGGTGTTTTTCCAATTTAATGCTGGTGTCGTTTACCTCATGTTATTAAACATTTTCTGTTACACTCAGACTCTGTGCTTGCGAGAGGGGAAGTATTTCCTCTTAGAGGCACCCAGGGGGTGGTATGTAATTGTCCCAGGTCACTGGGTGGGGGCTCGAGCCGGTATTGCATTGCGTTATTGAAACGGAACCCCTAGATACAGAACCCGGCCCTTGTTGCTGCCAACTTAGATGGGCAGAAGGGTTACACATACAATGGTCAGTCCACTAGCACAGGGGTTCTCAGCTTACGAAGGCTAGTGTGTGTCCACTCCACACTGAGGGATGGCAAACTACTGAATGAACCTGCACTGCCCAAGGGAGCCTTGAGCAGTGTGAGTCGGTGCAGTTCTGGGGGGTAGGGCGGAAGCTGGGGGGAACTGGCTGGTGCCTTTCTATTGCTGGTTCATCAATGGCTCGGAGCTGAGTCATGTAACACAGTTGGGCATGTCCCTGCCCGTAGGTGTCTGTCAGCGCAGGGCCTGTCAGGCTTGTAGCTTGACATCAGCATCACGGGGCGAGAGGCAGCCCAGGTTGGGGATTTGGAGGGCTCAGCAGTCCCACAGTCCAGGCTGCTCCCCGGGAACCCGTCACACTGTTGTAAATCTCCCTTGTTGCAAATTAAACCAATTACTTCTTGTTCTGCCCACACTGGACTTGAAGAACAACTGATCACTGGTCTCTGTAGAACAGCCTCAGACATATTTGAAGACTGTTATCAGGCCATCCCTGAGTCTTCTCTTCTCTAGACTAAACACACCCATTTATTTCAACCTTTCCTCACAGCTCATCCATTCTAAACCTCTGATCGTTTGTGTTGCTCTCCTCTGAACTCTCTCCAATTTGTCCACATCTTTCTTAAAGTGTGATGTCCAAAACTGGACACAGGATTCCAGCTGAGGCCCCACCGTGGCAAGAAGGGTGGAACAACGTCTTCCTGTGTCTTACATATGACACTCCTGTTAATACATCTGTGGTGGGGTGTTCACACCACATCAGTCCCCGAAAAAAAGAGTGAAGGAAGCTGAGAAAGAGGAGATTAGTGAGACACGTGAGCGGTTTAGGCCAGAGAAGCAACCCCTGATTGGAAGGCGAAGCTCAGCTGAGCAAGTGGGGGCTGGGCTAGTATAAAGACAACGGAAATTGGCTGCAGTGAGAAAGTCCGCAGCCCCCATCTGTGCATTCGAAAGGGAAGGGAGAGAATAGCATGCTAGGAGCCTGGCCCTGGGGGAAGGGAGTACTTAGAATCATAGGGTTAGAAGGGACTGCCAGGGTCATCTAGTCTAACCCATATAAGAGAGAAGGCTGGAGAAGAAAGCCTATGGGAGGTGAGTAGGAAGCAGCCCAGGGAGAGAAAAGATCTTGCCTGCATGTGGTAGGGTCCCTGGGCTGGAACCTGGAGTCATGGGTGGGCTCGAGTCCCCCTATCAGTCACTGAAGTGGTGGCATTGCCTGGGCAGTGGGACCAGTGAGACTCTATACCCCAGAAAGGGAAACCATTTAGTGACCTGGCTGGAGGCTGAGTCACGGAGAGGAAGCTGCAGCTCCTGGAGAGAGAGATGAGGCTGCAGAGTGAGAGAGAGACAACGGGGGGGAGAGACAGCAAGGGGAGGGGTTGGCCCTGGAAGAGAGCTAATCCCCAGAACAGCCAGGAGGAGGCAGCACCTGCGGTGAATACAGCTACCTGGGACAACATCCCACAATGACATTTGCCTTTTTCACAAGAGCATCACACTGACTCATTCAATTTGTGATCCACTTTAACCCCCCAGATCTTCTTCTACAGTCCTGCTGCAAAGCCAGTGATTCCCCATTTCGTAGTTGTACATTTGAGTTTTTCTTTCTAAGTGCAGCACTTTGTCTTTATTGAATGTCCCCTTCAAATTATTTTAATCCTTCCTCCCTCCGCCCTTTGTCTCTTGTGTCTATTTAGACCGTAAACTCCTTGGGGCAGGGACTGTCTCTGTCTGTGTGTCTGTGCAGCACCCAGCATGTTGGGACCTGATTTTGCCTTGAGCCTCTAGGCACTGCCATAGTTCTACTAATAACAGCACATTACAAACTTCTTAGAGCAGGGAATGTCTCTTCCATGATATCTGTTGCCACGCCCAGCACACTGATAGAGCTCACATATAATACAAAACAATTAATAAACAGCTCATTGAATAGTCATCAGATGGCCCTGACTTTCCATCACTACCAGCCTAGGTGGAGTTTGGAGTCTATGACCTGGAAATGAGAGACCCATTCTCCATCCCCAATCTCTGGAGGTCTCCTTTCCACCAGCCACACTACAGATCAATACCCTGTCTGTAGGTAAATAACTTCTCAGGCTGGTCTATTCTGGAGTCTAGTCAAAATGCCATCAGCCCCAAGATTACATTTAATGGAGGGAGATTGGGAACCAACCCCACACTCTGCACTGCTGGCCCATGGGGAGCCAGGTCTCATGTCCAAAATGAATTCTCTGCATTGGGAAGTGAAAGGGAGAGTGAGAAGGAGCCACCTACCTGCTCAAGGTGCCTTTGATGTCCTAGAGGAGAAAGATAAAAGGAAATTCAGTCCCATATCTCATACTAAGGCTCCTTCCTGCTCTGGAGGGGACTCACTTTGTCTTCACAGTTTGAGGTTCAAAGTGAAATTATTTGTTATTTATTAATGCAAACAAAAATATTAAATGTGTTGGCTTTGCTCCCTTGGAAAAGTTCTGTAAGTGCAGGATCTGGGCCCAGGAAGTTTGTACATGGAGGCACAGTAGATCTTTATGTAACAACATTTGAATAACCACCCAGCACATGGAATCAGAGGGCTCAGTCTTATGATATGTTGAACAAAGATCTCCCGAACATTCACAGGTGTGGGGAAGATCCCCTCCTGCAGACTCCAGTGGGTCCAGAGGGAGGGATGCTCCCATGCTGTGCTGCCCCCATGTGGTAAACTCTCTCCCCACTCTCCCACAAGCATTCTGAAGGCCCGTCCTGTGGACTTCTTGACACCCACAGGGGGCTGGGCGAGAACAATGGGTTTGGGGTACAGAGTAACAGAGGGCCAATCACTATCCTACACCCCAGGTTCAATGCAAGAGACCTGAGGAGTGACGAATGCTGCCCACAGCAGATATTGGTTGCAACAGAGAATTTGACCCTAGATATCAGCTAGAGAAGTCCAGGATGCTACATTTTAGTTCTCACTTTCTTTCTTGTTTGCTATTTGGATGCACTTTTTGAAAATTAAAATAATGAGAAAGCTTTTGGAATTCTAATGACTACGTATACATTCAGGATAGCATAAGTAACAAACACCTTACCTAATTAACTTCTGTTCTGGGGGGAAAACAAAAAACCACACTCACCACAGCCTCAGACCTCATGTATCAATTTTAAGGCCAATATTTTCCCTTTTTGGGGCTATGTAGGAAGAGTGGCTAAATAAGGCATAAAATGGAAACTCAGCTTCAATCCTAGCTATTTCCAGAATTAAAGACTGGCTCCATCTTTAATCTTTTGGAGTTAGGGTTTGGAACACAGGAAATGCCAGACTGGATCAGACTTTAGGTCCATCTAGTCAGTATTCTGTCTCCAAAGGTAGAAAGTGCCAGATGCTTCAGATGAAGGTGTAAGATAATCTGCCTCCCACATTCTCATCTTTCTCTCTAACAGTTAGACTGGCTAAGCAATGAAGCATGAGGTTTAATATCACTCTGGATATTGTGTTATCCATATAGATATCCGATCACTTTGAGTTTTGCTAAATGCTTGGACTCAATGATATCCGGTGGCAATGAGTTCCACAGTCTAATTATGTGATGTGTGAAAATGTGTTCATTGTATCTGTTTTGAATTTGTCACCTTCTAATTTTATTGAATGTCCCTTTGTTCTTGCATTATGAGACAGGGAGAACAGAATTTGGAGTTTACCATTTTTGGAGGAGTCTTCTCCCACTAGAATTCAAATGAAGAAAATTCTTCATTTATGACTTGATCCTATGCCCACTGTACTCAAGAAGAATATTTCCATTGACTTTAATGGGAATTTTATCAAGCTCTTAAGGAAAAATAATGTATATTTTAGCAATACTGTATGTTCTGACCTTTCACTCCTACACTCCAAAAGTGAAGGGTTAGGAGACTTTCTTGCCCCGTGAAAAGTTCTGGGGTGTTTCTAACACTGTCTCACCTGCAGGAATTCACTCGCCGGCTGCTGGCACTTCTGCTCCATCTCACTGATCAGGGAACTGAAAGAGGATAGTTCCTCAGATAGTTTGGCAACATACTCATCCCTCCTCTTTTCAATTTCTTTATTCAGCTCTTCCAGCTGGGCCAGCAGGAGTCGCTCCTGTTCCTCCAGAAACTGGCACAGTCGCTGAAATACTGACACAATCTTCTGCTTCTCAGTTTGTAGATGTTTCTGAAATGAAGAGATACGAACAGAGAAAGCACAGGTCAAGGATAGGAACACAGAGTGAGTTATGGGACATTTTATAAAACTTATGTATGCACATGGGAGCATGTCATTGCAACCCCGTAGAATTTAACTTCTGATATTTTATGGAGAACATACTCTATGTTCAGACAGATGATTTTTGAAGAGATTTTCAACAGTCCTAACTGGTGTTTAGAAAATGAATTTATCTTCTATTATTAGAATATTCTGTGATCAGTGGCGTCTAGAAAACTAGATCCTTCAAACAGAAAGTACCGCAGGTGTGGGATCCAGAACTGGACAGGCAAGGATTACTTCTGGGGAGCAAACAGTAGAACCCAAACTCGGAAGCACTTGACTTGAATTGGGGAACAGAGGCTCTCCACAAAATACACCTAGATGAATAGGGCCATGTTTCTAAAACAGACTTTAAAATAAGAGCACCAACAACTGCTTTGATGAGTTTTGAATGCACAGTTTAGGATATATATATATATATTTTGTCACATCATAAATCTCCAATTTTAATCCACAGAGGGATTTCTGAGCAGAAATTGGGTGGCTGGCAAGACACCTATTTGCATGTGCAAATCTGCGTTTTTCAGGGCACTTAGAAACATGTGCATGTGAACTGGACAGAAGCCCACCAATTCATGCTCTTTCTGGAGCACTAGCTCCTGATACCCTAGGAGCAAGAAACTTACATCATATTTAATCTCATATCCAAATCTTCTTCATGGCAACATCTAGCAGCGATATCACTAGGGCCTGTTCCAAAGCTCACCACAATCAATAGGAGTCTTTCCAGTGACTTCAGTAGGGTTTGGTGAGGTGTTAAGTGACCAGCCTTCTCTGGGGCAGCAGATTTCTCTAGTGGCTGCCCACGCTATTCTGTTGTGGTTATTGTTAGAGGCTTTTCTCTTAACCCCTCCCCGGGTTCTTGTCACGCAGACAGAAAGCAGAAGACCAAAGTCCGAAGTGCAGGCAATGCGATGTTTACTTGTTCCAAACAAGTATATCCACAGCTCTACACGCCAGCAGAGCCTTTACCCCCATCCCAGCTCTGACGCCGCAGAGCCTTTACCCCGCATCCCCCTTCCCAGCTCTGATGCCGCAGATCCTTGCCTGTGTCCCCATTCCTCCTTCTTAGCAGGTCCAAATATACCTGCAGTGCATGCCCCATGTCACATCCCTTACAACTTATGGTCATGTTCCGTTTTAGAGGGTCATCCCACCTCTTCTGTATCCCATGGGAAGGATAAGAAGTAAGGTTGTGTACTGGCCAAGGCCAGGCTTTTCTTTGCCTTTTAGTGTTTTATGCCTCCCCCCATTCTCCTTTTGCCCCTTCTAACTGGTTGCTTGATCTTGGCTTGAGAAAGGAGCCAGGCAGCCTTCCAGGGTATGCTCATATATTTATTACACTCCCACCTTACTTTATCTGTTCTTATCGCTGTTCCCATTATACTAACAAACTCATCTGGACAGGCAGAAGCAACACACCGTGTCTTTGTCCTTTGTTCTTCACACATATTTGTTAGGATGTAAGAGTATCAGAAGTCAAACCCACAAATTCAATCTCAGGTTCACAAACAGGCTTATATGCTAACAGTTATGTCTGTTGAAAGTAAAGCCAAAAAATGAGGGAGGAATTTGCAAAAAAAAAAAAAAGTTTTCATTTAAGTGTTCAAAATGGGACAACTTTTAATTGGTTTGAAAAATATCATGAAATAACTTGAAAAAATTCACATTTCTGTTTCCCCTTTTTTCCTAAAATGTAAGAAAATAATGTTCATTTCCACCACCACCACCCCATTTGTTCCTTTTAGTCCATTCTCTTTGGAACTCTTCAAAAGTTCTCCGATTTTAGAAAAATTGGCAAAAAGAAAAATGAAAATCTAAGAGAAAAAAGCCTGGAAATTATTCATGTTATTGTACTCAGTCGCAAAAAGGAGGAAATGGGGAAACAAAGGGATAAAAACGTTTGAAATTTAAAAAAAACATTCAACTTTTTAAAACCAAAATGAAAGCTTCAATTTGAAATGAAAATAAACATTTTTCATTCTGAAATTTCCTGTCAAAAAACTGATATTTATTTATATGCCAAAGACAGTTTCCCATGGGGAAAAAATTGTTTTCTACTAAATCCCATTTTGCTACAGGACATTTTTGTGGTTGAAAAATTTCGACCAGTTCTAGTTGAAAGACTAAAGGAGAAACTACTGTTAGCTAAACAAATTACACTCACATTATCAATGGAAATATTTGGATTATTAAAACTTTCCTTAACACTCCATTTTCCTGTTTATACTCAATTAAAGCAGAACAGTTTTTCTTTAGAATGAGAATAAATAAGTAATAATCTTTCATGGAAGGGAAGATGTTTCTCACTGTTCTTCTTCCGTTAGACTAAGCAGAGTATCAACAATGTCCCTGTGCACATTTGCCTCTGAGTAACAACGGCACCTACCAGTAGTTCCTGGCTTGTATTTTCCTCACTCAATTTATACGACAGAATCTCTTCACTCTCTTCTTTAAAACTTTCAAAATGTCTCTGAATTTGTTTCTAACAAAAGAAAAACTGGTTTAGTTTTGGTTGCTTTTGGAGGGCTTTCCCCCATTTTATTTATATTTTCAAGACTATTACATGCATAATAAAATGGGTGAGTGCTCTAACCACCTGGCTATACAGTCATTCTCATGCTTGTGATCTCTCTCTCTTTGGCCCAAATGACTAAGTATTTATCCCCAGTAGAACACTTTCAACAGTAAAGATGGAGGGAGCCCTACCTCAGAATATCCCATAGAGAGGTGGCAGATCCCTGTTCAAATCCCTTCTCCTCATCAGGTGGAGGGGGACTTGAACTGGTGGTCTCCCATATCCCAGGTTAGTAAACACTGGGCTAAAAATTATGAGGGCGATCTTTCTCTGTGTGAACTCACCTGAGGAGCCTCAGGCTGCCTACCAGATTAGGCCCTGTAGCGGGGCGGCCTGGCTTCCAGGCGCCCCAGGAAGCGACGAGCCAGAACAGCCGCCAGAGTGGGCAGAGCCACCGTGGCCTGTCCCCGCCCCCCCGGAAGTCAAGGGGCGGGACAGGAAGTATAAAGGCCAGGCCACAGCGCTCAGTAGCTGGCCGGCAGCGGGAGAGGACAGACGCTGGTGCCTGAGCTCCCGCGGACCTGAGCCGGCCGAGAGCCCGGTATCCTGAGGAGGACTGGCCGAGCCTGCCGAGAGCCCGGTACCCCGAGGAGGACTGGCCAAGCCTGCCAAGAGCCCGGTATCCTGAGGAGCGGCCTGAGCTTCCCCCCGCCGAGGGCCCAGAGGGAGTGACAGACCTACCTGGTGCTCGGGGCCCGGAGGAGCCCATGATCTGCGACCCAGCAGACGGAACTCAGGAGGAACAGGTACCCATGGAGGAGGAGATGGGAAGTGGCCCGGGGATAGCAGACCCCAAACCCATGTCAGTGTGTTGCGGTCAGGATCCCCACTGACCGCGCGGCAGACGGACTGCTGCGGATAGGGCCCCGGGCTGGAACACAGTGGAGTGGGTGGGCCTGTGTTCCCCCCTGCCACACCGCGCCGGGTGGCAGTCTCTCCTCCTCCTTGTCCAAGGGGCCTGGGCCCCTGACAGACTATCTGTTGGCTGCCCCGCCCTGACCTAGGGCCTGGGCTAACCCAAACTGACCCAGCCCCTGCTACAAGGCCTGGGCCACTGACTGACTATTGGTTTGCTGCCCCGCCCTGACCCAGGGCCGGAGCTGCTAATTGTGTGCTCAGCCCCTGCATAAGGGCCTGAGCTCTAAACTGCCAATTGTGTGCTCAGTCCCTGCATAAGGGCCTGAGTTCAGAACTGCCAATTGTGTGCTCAGTCCCTGCATAAGGGCCTGAGTTCAGAACTGTTAATTGTGTGCTCAGTCCCTGCATAAGGGCCTGAGCTCTGAACTGTCAATTGTGTGCTTAGCCCCTACCCGAAGGTCGGGGCCCTAACTGTTATTCGCTTTGTAGCGGGGCGGCCTGGCTTTCAGGCGCCCCAGGAAGGGACGAGCCCCACCCCGGACCTACTACAGGCCCATATGGAAGTTAGGTGGTCTAAGGGCTTGGCTACACTTGCAAGTCAGTGTGCATTAAAGCAGCTCTGTGCGCAATAGCTCACTACCTGTCCACACTGGCAAGGCATGTAGAGCGCTCTGACTCCACGGTTAGAGTGCTCTTGGTACTCCACCTTGGCGAGAGAAATAATGTTTGCTGCGCATTGGCTACAACGCCCGGGCGTCAGTGTGAACGAGGTGTTGCATTACTGCGCTCTGATCGGCCTCCGGAAACGTCCCATAATCCCCTTAAGTCAAGTGGCCACTCTTGTCATTGTTTTTGAATGCTGCAGGAATGCCGATATCCCCTTTGAAAGCTCACTTTCTGACAGCCAGCTGCTTATCTGCTCCGAGACAAAGCAACCATTAGTGTGGAATGCTGTGTGAGTGAGTGTGGGGGGGGGGGGCACGGGGCAGGGAGAAGTGGGGGGGATCTGCTGCTGTCTGAACTTACAAGACAGCATGCTGACATGCTCAGCCCCCCCAAAAAACCCACTCCACGCCCCCACACACAAACGTACTCCCTGTCACACTCCACCCCACCCCCATTTGAAAAGCACGTTGCAGTCACTTGCATACTGGGATAGCTGCCCACAATGCACCGCTCCCAATGCCGCTGCAAATGTGGCCATGCCAGTGCGCTGTCAGCTGTCTGTGTGAACAGACTGCAGCACTTTCTTTCTCTACTGCGCTCTAGGAAGGCTGGTTTAACTCAAAGTGCTCTACATCTGCAAGTGTAGCCATACCTTAAGGCTGATCTTCCCTGGGGCTTAGGTGGGAGATAGGCATCTAGATGCCTTGGGCGAGGCAGCAGTGCGCATGGCCAGAAGCAGAAACACAGGTGCTGAGGGAACTAGTTACTGAACACACAGATGCCGAGGCAGTTTAGGCACCGACAGAGTTCAGCAGGAATTTTGTGAATTGCAGTGTAGGCTCCAACTGGGGTTTAGGCACCTAAGTAAATACTGGAGTACTTGTGGCACCTTAGAGACTAACAAATTTATTAGAGCATAAGCTTTCGTGGGCTACAGCCCACTTCTTCGGATGCATATGCATTTTTCCTATATGCATCCGAAGAAGTGGGCTGTAGCCCACGAAAG